ATCCAACTGCATTCACCAATGATTAAGTTTTAACCTGTGGTGATTTGATAATAGGTCTGTATATTGAAAAATCAATATCAGATATTTAAAAATCAATTTAAGGACACTTGAAAATTTGAAATTGAACAATTAATATAAACAGCACTTAAAAATTTTTTAAATCAAGAATTACTTCAAGGGCACTGACAAGTCCTTAAAGATGAAACCAAAACAAATAACTCGAAAGTACTTAATAATCATTTGTGCAGCTCTTGGTCCTGCTTCTTCTGTCTAGCAGGAAAATTTCCTGTCATCATACATTACACATTGATTTCTATTAAGATATACGAAGAGGTCTGGAACCGGTTATCACAAATATGGATGCCACAAAGAAATTTTGGGTGAAAAACTTTAAAAATTCGTTTTATCATTCACTCCTTCCTGATTTCTAATATTCTTTAATACAAAATACACCTAGTAAACCACGATAACTTAAACCATAATGTAAAACCAGGAATTTCTTTGGCGTTTTTTGGAACACAAACTCGTTAGTACATCAAGAAATTCTACGGTAAAGAAACCTCTACATATCTAAAGAATAAAAATAACACTAGACGGCATTTCTTTGTGGAAACGTGAAAATTTTCAAGTTAATTGGCACTCGCACTATTATGCGCTAACAGCTTGTTGCTGCTGTTTTTATTGACTAAATTGACAAATCGTATAGAATGTCCATGAGAAAATGAATTTGAGGTGTTGGAAATGATTGGAAAAAGGAGGTTGTGCTTCATTTGTCAAGGTCACTTTTTACTACATACATCGTTTAAATAGATGGTAATTTGGTGTTGTGAAGAAAATTTTGAACGTGATTTGGAAATGCTTTATATACGCTTAGGTGCGTGATTAATTGGAGGGCTGTCTCTATGCGATCAAAAGAATTCTTTTGAACCCGAAAAGTGTTCTGTTAAATCGCAAAATTACTCGAGAAGAGAAGTTCCTTTCCTGATTAAATCATGAAAATTTTGTAAGGTTAAAAGAAATTTACAATCCATAATGTAAAAAATGTATAAACATATTTAGAGTTAGTTTAAATTATAAGTCAAAAATCAAAATTTTTTGAACCCTTGCAGTATCCTTGGATGTTTTAGTTTCTTTAATGAGATAAACAGAAAGATAAAATTCAAAATAGTCCGGAGGATAAGCTCCGAAAATTGGTCAGATTGTTCAAACATGTGAAGAAAGCATGAAACTTACCACAAATTGCTAATTTGATTTATAGATCAAAATAAAAGTGAGACCCCAGCAGGATCAGCTTGTTTAGGGTACTTTTGAGCCGATTAAAAGTTTGGTCAGCGGCTTAAATCGCGGGCTTAATGAGGCTTTTATAAAACCGTTTTAAATATAAAATGTTAAATAAAAATGTTGTATTTTATATAAAAACAACAAAACACCATGAAAATTCCGGTAAAATTAATTAATTGTCGAAAGTTACCCTTTTAAAGGTTATTTCGAAAACTGCATAAATTTTGGGCTCCCTGTGGCAAAAGCCTGGTCGCCTAGTTAATTTGGCATTTCCAGACGATATAGTGCTATTTCTCGATAATTTTTTTGATTATTTTTCGCTTTTAAAATGTCTTTAAACTGGAACCTTTGTGCCTTATGTCAAAAGACACAAAAGAAAAGATTTTATGTCCGGAAAAAGCTTCAAATACTTTACTTGCTGGCTCAAGTTACAAGACAATTGCAGAAAACTTGAAAGAATTCGAGAAACTTGATTCGCTACCTATTAACATTCCACTTTCTTCTCTTGATGATGGCAGAGGTAAGGAATTCCTAATCAATTAAAAGTGAAATAAACTCACAGATCAACTATGAGCCATAAATTGTACTTATTTAGCCTTATAATAATACTTTAACAGGCATTGAAAATACTTTAAGAAATCACAGAGCATCATGGCACAAATCGTGCTATAATAAATGCAATACGCTAAAGCTTCAGCGGGCACAAAAGCGCAAAAGTGAAGAGGAATTTTCAACTGAGGATCCAGCAATATTAGGAGCTACTAGTCCAGCTAAAACAAGAAGAAAGACATTTGAATTGTCAAGTAAGAGTAGCAATGCTTTATCATGTTTTTCTGTGATTGCACAGAGGGTGATTTGCATAAAGCAGAAACCATGTCAATTACCAATAATGTTCAATCAGCGGCCGAGACGCTTCAAGATTACAAACTGTTAGCAAAATTAGCACAAGGTGATATGCATGCAAGAGATGCATATTACCATAAATCATGCTTGACATCTCTCTATAACCGTCAGAGAAGCAAATTAAACCAACCACAAGATAGTGCTGTTGATGATAAAAATGAAATAACACCTGAGGCAATAGCCCTTGCAGAATTAAGCCTATATATTAGTGAAAGCCTGGCAGCTGGTGAAGCAGTTTTCAAGATGTCTCAATTGTCAGAGCTCTATTGTTCAAGACTTGAACAATTAGGAGTAGAAGTGAAAGGACGTATCAACTCCACAAGACTGAAAGAACGACTTCTCACTCAAATACCAGAGCTGCATGCATTTAAAGATGGTAAAGATGTGAAGCTGGCAATGCCAAATGATATTGGAACAGCTATGGCTTTTGTACACAATAGGAACCTAGACACCGCTGCATTGTACCTTGCAAAAGCTGCTAGTATAGTACGAAAAAAAATGTTCTTGAAAAGGGAACCCTTTGAAGGCACGTTTACACCAGAATGCCAACAACAAGCAGTCCCCGATAGTTTACTTGCCCTGATAAATATGATTTTAGAGGGTCCAAATATAAATAATCAAAAGAAACAAGAGGTGTCAGGAGCCAGTGCCGCTTTAACGATTTCCCAACTGCTAATATTTAATTCAGTAAAGCATGTACGATCAGGTGCTAGCAATGCCATTCGACATGACAAGTCAAGAGAGACACCATTAACCACTTCCACGGCGCTCGTTGTCCATGCAGAAACAAGAAAAAACATTGGTCGACAAGTTTTATAAGCTAGGTCTTTGCATTTCTTATGACAGACTAATGCAGATATCTGCAGATCTGGGAAACAAGTGTTGCAAACTGTATGAGAAGGAGGGTGTTGTATGTCCTCCAAAATTAAGAAAGAATATCTTTACTACAGGCCAAGTTGACAATATCGATCACAATCCGTCCTCAAGAACCGCTAAAAATTCATTTCATGGAACAGCAATTTCCTTACACAACATCCTTCTCTTGACTCACAAGGAGAAGAACGAGAACAAGTGCCACAGGATAACACTCCCACAAAGTCAAAGGTCGTCAACAGTTTACCTGAATTCTATACAACTGTAACTCCTGTCACAGATGAAGGTAAAAGGATCTCTTTGTCCCAAAGTCACTGGCTCTTTTAAACCTAAACAAGACCTGATAAATAAAAGCATCAAGGAAGAGGAGAAATGGCTAAAAAGGGTCGACGAACTTTTACTCAAAGAAAAGCTTGAAGAAAAGGATTACTTATCATGGTCAGCTTACTTTGCATCTGAGCAAAACGTAGTTTTGAGGCCCAATGCAATCACCTCTTTATTGCCACTTTTGAAGACAATGCTCATACTATGGCTATGATAAAGCATGCAATGAAAACCGTCAAAGAATCTACTAAGTTCTTAAACCCTAATCAAACTCCTGTTATAGCGATGGACCAACCACTCTATGCACTCGCTAAGCAAATACAGTGGAACAACAAAATGAATTCGGTGAAGATAAGTACATGGTAATGATGGGTGGCCTGCATATTGAGATGGCAATATTAAAGATGATTGGACATTGGTTAACTAACAGTGGGTGGGCAAGGTATGGTGTAGATTTGTTGTTTTATAATCTCAATCTAATAACTAACATATATTTTACTTTGAAGTGCTCTAATTCATGCTGAGGTTATGACAAGTGGAAGAGCGGATTCTGTTTTGAAAGGATCGCACGTGACGAGATCTCGCTATCCACCAAGTAAGTGCCTGTGCAATTTACCTTATGCAGAAAATTGCTTACCAGGAGTACATCGAAAGTTGTGAAGACAAGCCCCAAAAAGTTATGAAGCTTGGATAAAAGAACAAAGTGAGCTTTGCCCGCAATTCAAATACTGGGCGACAGTATTAGACCTCGAAATTCTTCTACTGCAGTTTGTTAAGGCTACCAGAGGGTAACTTCCAAGTCTACTTACAAGTGCTTGGAAAGGTACTTCCTTGGTTTTGCGATGAACTTGTCTAACTACTCTAGATGGTTGCCAGTACATGTGAGAGATCTCTTACGATTAGAGAAAACGCATCCTACTCTTTTTACAGAGTTTAGTGCACATGGAAAATTTGTGGTTCAGAAGTCCCAACATCGTTTTTCTATGATGTCCCTTGACCAAAACCACGAGCAAGAGAACGAAATGATAAAAGGTGATGGTGGAGCAGTGGGCCTCACCGAGTGCCCAACGGCCCTAAGACGTTGGATGATCGCAGGACCTGAAATTGCAAGACTGGTAAGAGAGTTTGAGTGTTCCTTTGGCGTTCAGTGTTCTACAAAGAACATTACTCACCACGAACAGACACCATCTGTCCAAAAGAACTTTGCAAAAGATGTAAAATCAATGTCTGCTGCATTAAAGGAGTTTGGAAACCCTTTATGGAAAATAGCAAGGATCTGATTGTCGTAGATACGAAAGAAATAGAGCCTGAGTGTGTTATAGAGTCGATTTATACAGCTCGAAAGATCGGAGAAGCACAATACACTAAGTACGTCGAAGAGAGACTTGAAAAGTGTAACACACCAATAACTGACACAATTGAACGCAATAAGCTTCCACTTTTTGGAACATCAGTACCAACGACAACCAACAAGACGAAACTTCAAGTCACAACATTAAAGAATGACTGCAATCTTTTTGCAAGGTTGTACATTGCTTGTCAGTCAAGAGAAGGGAATCTCCAAGAATTTTTTAAGCATGAAAACCAGAGTACTCCTCCTTCATTATCATCAGGGACAAGATGCGAAGTGGCCAGAAATCAGAATTGATTGATTGTCTCGAAGCTGATGTGCAGACCACCTGTCCAAATGTTGATGTCAAAATCTTGGATGCCGCAGCTATTGTAAACATGCTTAGCCCAGGGAAGTGTAAGACCTTTCAAGAATACTCCAAATCAGTGTTTGTTCCTTATATTGTTCAACAAGCAAATGGTATTAGAAGAATAGATCTTGTTTGGGACCGTTATATACCCGACAGCCTTAAGCAGGGTACTCGTTCATCGCGAGGCGCTGTAGGGGCAAGAAGAAGAGTATGTGACATGGCTGTGATCCCTGCAAACTGGAAATCATTTTTAAGATCAGATGACAACAAACAAGAACTTTTCAAGTACCTCAGTCAGGCAGCAACATCGATTCAACTGCCAAATGTTACAATTGTAAGCACTTTTGAGGAAGACATAATAAGTTCGAAGCCAATCGAAAAAGATGAGTTAGCTCCCTGCAATCACGCATTTTCATTCATGCAAACCATGCAGCGAAAGGTGGAATGAGGAAAATTGTCATAAGAACTGTAGACACAGATGTTGTTGTGTTAGCAATAGCAAACGTGCACAAGTTAGATGTAGATGAACTTTGGATTGCTTTTGGTGTTGGTAAACACATGAGGTACTTACCAATTCATAACATTACACAAAGCTCGTTGAGTAGGGAGCAATGTGAAGCCCTACCCTTCTTTCATGCTGTCACTGGTTGTGATACTGTGTCGTTCTTTGCTGGAAAAGGTAAAAAGACTGCATTTCAAGCCTGGAAGTCTTTTCCTGATGTTACCAGTGTGTTTCAGCTTCTTTCATCTCCAAAAGAATCCATCTCAGAAGAAGAAATGGAAAAATTGAAAGATTTATCATTATTATGTATTCCCGCACATGCCCGCTCTCCAACATCAATGATGCTAGACAAGCTATATTTGCACAAGGTACTAAGACAATCGACCACATTCCACCAACCCAAGCCTCCTTGGTACAGCACATTCGGAGGGCAACATATCAGGCTGGTCATGTTTGGGGTCAGTCGTTAGTTTCAGTTCAACAGTTACCGCTTCCTTCGCAGTGGGGATGGCAAAATAATGGCAGATGGATTCCTACATGGAGCACTCTTCCAGAGGCTTCCAAAGCGTGCAACGAACTGGTGCACTGTGGTTGCAAGAAAGCATGTAGGGGCTTGTGCAAATGTACCAAGTCCAATCTTCCATGCACAGCATTGTGCAAATGTGGTGGTAGCTGTTACCAAGATTAATAAGTAAGTAATATTCCCTAAATAATCCCGAAAATGAATCAAAAGAATACACTGCAGTGAAGACGACAGGTGATACAATATCATTATTAAACATTTTCATGCTCTTGTAAAAATTTAATAACACCAATAAATCAAGAAATCCCAAATATTCTTCTCATTTTTTTATTGAAAGTATGTGAAATTTACTGGTATAAATGACAATTTATACGAATTATATATCGCTTAATAATACTTACTTCCAAGAGGATATAAATGCGACGAGAACTAAATTGTTTTGTCGATTTTCTTTTTATTTGAAATGGGATCCCTGTGCCTTTACTATTAAAATATATGGCAAAATTTTTTGATAATTTTCTCGGAAACAAAAAGGTATTTTGCTGGGGTCTCACCTCTATTTTAATTTCATTGATAAACCAATGCAAAATAGTGAATTTGAGACTTTCTTCATGAATTTGAACAATGCTAGGTCTTATACTCCGGACTAAAAACAAAAAACCCGTTTTCTCTCCATGCTTCCCAATACCTTTTTAAGCGTAAGGCACTAGAACAACGCATGTTAACGTTTCAGTCGGAGATTTCGACCCCTCCACGCTATCCTACTTGGGGATGCCAATACGTATCAAGCTTCCGCCCACCATACCCCGAGATCACCTGCGATAGGCTTTGATAGGGTTACGCAGGGAGAGTGCGGTCGCGACCAAAGTTTGAGCCTCTACTCTAAGCCACTGCATACATATCGCACCCAGCATCCACTGCTAGTTGACATCTACTATATTAACTTTTAGATTTATATATATATACACAAAAATTCAGAGGCATACGAAAGTTGCGGTATTATTAAAGTCATTACTGCGCATGCCCAGATAAATTCTTTGATAGTTTGCTACTAAGTGAGGCAATTGCCATAAATATAGTGCAAGTACATGTTTTATAGTCGTTGCCATGACTATGAACAATTAGTCGAGTGGACTATGCATGCTCGAGCGCATGCGCAGATGTTTTCTTTATTTTGTTAATAAGCCTGTTATTTACTTCAAAATCGGTGCTTGTAGATGCGATTGGTCGTTGCTATGACCATAAACTTAGGAAAATAATCAATTCGACTGCGCATGATCAAACAAACTGCACATGCGCAGTTGATTTATCTGAAAATTTGTAACTGAGCGAGCTAATTCTTCCATATTGGATACTAAAACATACAGTCGATCGTTCTAAATTAATTTGTGATTGAGCGAGCTCTGAATTAGTGCTTGTATATGCTCTTAGCAGATTTTCAATAATATATTTCAATTTTGGCATTCTCTTTGTCAACTTAACCTTGTTTTGACAAATGCATATCAAATTCATCAACACTTTGTTACGCCACTCGTAATATTCGTGACAATGTTAGAGATGTTTTTTTTTCTCCATAAATTTGTATCTGAATATTTTGCGCATAAACAATGCTCTAGTATTTATGACTGATACTATAATTCGTGGATTGATGTAGAACAAATACTTGAAAATGAAACTTCCAACAGTGAAACAAAATGAAGCATGACAAAGGAAAAACAGAGACGCAAGGTTGAAGATACCTTGATAAAATTGAACGTAGTAGAAGCACCTAACGTACGCTCGAGAATTTTGGATGAGGACTCGTGAAACAATGAAAACGCAAATGATTTCAAGTATGTTGACGACGATAAAAGCTCTAGCGAGGACGAGGTTCCAATACAATAATAGTCCATTAACAACACCGAGTGTTCTGAAGACATTTTCAACAGAAACATCGATTAATCACATATACAATTTGGAAGGTCGTTGGCTCACGGGGTATAAAGTAGTGGGAATTCTTCATGATGTTGCTGAAGATATGTAAAGATAACTACCTGCGTCTTTCGTTTAGAACGAGGCATCTAATTTCAATAGTGAAGAGGAAGCAATCACCACAAGAGATGATTTGCAAGATAATTCAAAGTGTACTCTAGTTTCTTTTATGATATAAACAAAAGAAATAAAATTCAAAAGCAAAAAACCCCGTTTTCGGTCCATGATTCCCGATACCTTCTTAAGCGTAAAACACTATAACGCCGCATGTTAACGTTTCGGTGGGTGATTTCGGCCCATCCACATTATCCTACTTGGAAGATGCCAATAACGAACTTCCGCCCATCAGACCCCGAGATCACCTGCGATAGGCTTTGCTCAGGTACGCAGGGAGAGTGCCGTCGCGACCGAAGTGCATACTGCATATTTTATCGCACTCAGCTTCCATTGCTAGTTGACATGTACTATATGAAGTTTTAGATTTATATATATATACACAAAAATTCAGAGGCATACGAAAGTTGCGGTTATATTAAAGTCATTACTGCGCATGCCCAGATAAATTCTTTGATACTTTGCAACTAAGTGAGCCAATTGCCACAAATATAGTGCAAGTACATATAGTTAGTCGTGGCCACGAATATGAACAATTAGTTAAGTGGACTGCGCATGCGCTAGAGCACATGCGCAAATTATTTTTCTATTAAATTAATAATAAGCATGCTATTGACTTCATAATCGGTGCTAGTAGACGCAGTTTGTCGTTGCCATGACCATGAACTTTGGAAGCTAATCAATTCGACTGCGCATGATCAAACAGACTGCGCATGCGCAGTTGATTTATCTGAAAATTTGTGAATGAGCGATCTCTGAAATTAGTAATTGTATATGCTCTTCGTAATACTCGCCCTGTTGTATGTCTTTGGCAACATTTTAAAAAATAATCCGTGCATTCGTACGTTTATCATAAAGAAAATGAACCGAGAAGCGTCGATAGTTATGCCAGTCGATAACTACTCTCTTCTCTTGGAACCTCATTCAAACTCTTTGGAAATACGAAAAGAACGAGCTCAATCGCGCGTCCAAGATTGGTTGCACGGCGCCAAACCCGATTTCGATTGCGGAAACGAAAGGTCAAAGCGTCGTTCACCTTTTCGAATTGGTAAAGCAGAATCGACTGCTCGTTGTAATTTTTGGCAGCTGTACTTGTCCAGTTATCATAGTAAAGTTAGAGCAAATGCTACAAGTACAACGCGAGTTTGAAGATATTGCCGACTTTATCCTTGTCTACGTCCAAGAAGCTCATCCTCAAGATGGCTGGAGAATGAAGGTAAGAACGACTGTGGATAATTAAGGGATGTTTAGAGGAATTTTTTGTCCTACGCCCGTATTATAGAAGCTCGCTCGCTCTCATTGATTGCAACGGAGAAATCATTCTCTCCCACCATTCAATGGAAAACTCGTTTCTCCATTCATGGCGAGGTTCTTTTCAAAAAATATTTCAAATCAAAAAATCAGCAAAGGGAAAACGCCGTTTTTGAATAGTTATATGCATGAGGTGATTTTGACCCTTAGTGAGTTTTGGGTGTGAATGAGATTCTAGAACACATTCGTGAGGGTCAAATACAATTCATGTATTTCTATAAACAATAAGAAGATAACTTGATTGGATTCTCTTTAACTGCAATCAACCTTCGAAACATTTTTTTCAATAGACTCGTACGAAAACCTGTCAGCGATCCGGTGATTTTTGTTACATACAGCGATATTTGATATCAAACTTGCTTTTCGCAGTTAAATTCAATATATGTGTGTTTGTTGATTTTCGCCATATCTTCGCGGGACGCTATGAACAATCGTGGGGCGATCAACTGTTTGTTAGCCTTACTTAGGCATCTTAACTGAGAACAATTGGATAAGGAACCGCATGTACTACTCTTGACGGGCGCAACTGGCTTCACTTTGCGTACATTATATACTTTATTTTGTAGTACATTATCCGTGCACTTTTAACGAATAATGCTCAAGTTAATTATTTTGAATTTTGATATGCAGCGAAGTAGTTGGCTGTTGCTAATATTGTACACGTGCGTAAACACGTTACTCACGCAGCACCGACATGCGTATAATGAAAATGATATTTTAGTTTCCGCATTACTGAAGTAATAACGTTCCAACTCATTTCCTAAGGGAAGAAATCTCTTTAGGACTTTAACTAATTGACAAGACTTATCATTGAGTGTATTGTAGATCGTGTATAAAGAAAAATGAAACTCGCAAGTGATAATGCCCAAAAAAACGTTTGTAAATGCCTAAGTATCGGAGTACAGAAAAAAAATAGCATTGAAAACCGTTAATGCATTACAATACATAAGTACATCTTGGTTCCATAATCTTGAATGAATACATCATGATACACAAGTACATCATGGTTCCATCAATCTTGAATGAATACATCATGATACACAAGTACATCTTGGTTCCATCAATCCTGAATGAGTACATCATGATACATAAGTACATCTTGGTTCCATCAATCTTGAATGAATACATCATGATACACAAGTGCATCATAGTTCCATCAATCTTGAATTAGTACATCATGATACACAAGTACATCATGGTTCCATCAATCTTGAATGAATACATCATGATACACAAGTGCATATTTAGTATATCAATGCCGTACCTTGAGAAGACATAGGCTATAGCAGAGAGTAGCGTAGTGGGCAAAGTCTACAGCTTTGCTCTCGCTATATAAATATTGAATTACTAAAGTATTTAGAAATCTGTTGTTTTTACAGTAAGTATACTTAAAAATATATTTTCCTAGAGGGAGTAAAATATCGGGCTTGCTACTGATAGCTCATAACTTGTAATTCCTTATGTTTTTTTTATAGGACACCTATGTTGTAAGAAGACACGTTTCGATCGAGGATCGCGTGGAACCCTCGCAGATTCTTCGTGCCTTCGTCCCGACTAACTTTCCGGTTTACTCGGATACGCTGGACAACGCGGCAAGCACTGCGTTCAGCGGTTGTCCGAACAGAATAGCGATCATTGAGGAGGACAAACTGATCTATCAGAATGGACCTGGACCGACATGGTTTGACTTCGAGGAGACGAAGCAATGCCTCAAACGCTATCGCAATAACAATAAGGCTTAGAAATGAGAATATATTAAAAGCATTTTTATGATGGCTTTACTATGACGTCAGCATATACTATGACGTCAGCGTAAGATATAAATACTCCGGAACAAAAGTTTTGGTATGAAGTTAACAAAAATATTCGCGATCTTTATCCGTTTTATCTTCTCAGCTATTCAAAGCTGGTATAATCCGACTTTTTATTCATATTCTACTGACCAACAACAATCTCAGTAATGTTGAACAATTATGAATGTTATGTAGTAGACAGGGCTTGGAAATATTCATCTAAGCTGAAATTTCAGACTGATTTGACAGACTGATTCGAGGTTGGAATATTGGCAATCTTTGCTTCATCATACCAACGCACAGCAAAAAATGTTTATGGAATAGTTAGGCCAAGGCAAGATTAATTCAATTTGAAGGAAAATACATCCGCTAATCGATGAAGCAGAATGCTTTTTTCCAGCCTTGTTTCAGCAAAGCGTTTCCGTATTAAATGGGGGAAAAACACATTGAATTTTATCCAGCTC